GTTCGGGCACATTCAGAGGAGGAGCACTGATGCACCGGTGAGGATGTGTGAGCGACTGGCTATGGTGAGCACGAGTAGAGGTAGAGGACAACCTAAGAAGTATTGGGGAGAGGTGATCAGGCAGGACATGGCGCGACTTAGGATTACTGAGGACATGACCCTTGACAGGGAATTATGGAGGTCGAGCATTAAAGTTGTTGGTTAGGGGAAAGTTGTGAATATTTCTACAGCACACGAGAGTGAGACTAGCCAGTTAGGAGTTAGTGTGAGGATGCTACTGGTCGTCTACTGATGCAGGGCTTTATCTGCAGGTTATTACTATACCATCCATCTATTTCGTATTTCGTATCTCTTATATTGCTGTTATTTTATTACGAGTCTATCGATGATACTAATATATCGTCTCTTGTTGCTTTCTTGAGCCGAGGGTCTCCTAGAAACAATCTCTCTGTCCCTCGGGGTAGGGGTAAGGTCTGCGTACATGTTACCTTCCCCAGACCCCACTTATGGAATTATACTGGGCGTTGTTGTTGTTAATTAAATAGAAAACCGAGAAATAAGAAGAAAAAAACGAAAAAGAAGAAAATAAGAATGGAAAAAAAAAATGAGAAAAGAAAACGAGAAAGAGAGCTTAAACCCTAAACCCTGGCCCTGATAAGTTCCACTATCACTTCCACACCATTGCTGAGAACACGTGAAGAGAAAAACAGGAAAAACAGCAGCAATGGTGAAGGCGTATCTCCGGTATGAGCCGGCGTCGTCGTTTGGGGTAATAGTATCGGGGGAGTCAAACATCGCCTACGACAGCTCCGGCAAACACTTGTTAACGGCGGCGTTAGAGAAAGTCGGCGTATGGCATGTGAGGCAGGGTGTTTGCACCAAAAACCTAGCTCCTCCTTCGTCTAACTCGAAAGGCCTCTCCGTTGCCGTTACTTCAATTGCTTCCTCTTCTTCATCCCTTGTAAATCCCTCTTTCCTTCCTTTTTTTGCTGCATTTCTCCGTAAGCTGTAATTTTTATATTGCTAGAGATAAGTGTTCATTATATTGTTATCTTTAATGACCTACAATTTAGCTAAAATAATGACACAATTAAAGCAAGCACTTGAGAAATATGAATTTGTCCACAGTATTCAGATTGAAAGATATATGAGAATCTTTGAGAAAGTGCATAGAAATAGTGAAACTATAGCTAGAAATATTGCTTGTGTTTGTAGTGTTAGAGCTCCTACTAGAATTAGAGATGAAGTACTTAAGTTTAGATTCTAGTAGAAATTCTATGGCTATGTAGTAGTCGGATAGAGATTTTTTTGATAGCTAACTGATTTAGTTAGCTATGGTTGTACGATTTCTTTGGTGATAAATAAAAATATTTAGCTACCCAAAAAAGAAAGCAAACACTTGACCTATCAACCTACGAGCGATCAGTGGCGGAGCCAGGAATTTTAATAAGGGGAATCAAAAAATTAGAACTTGCAACCTAAATCAGTGTTTGAACTAGCTTTGCTACTTCCATTATTTTAAGGGATCAAAAGTTTATATATATTTGGAAAAAGAGTATTTTTGCCCTATTTACTCTGTATGATTTTCCAACAGAGTTGAAACCCCTTCATTGGCTGTGACTCTGCCACTGCTAGAATGGGGGATAAAGCATCGCATGCAGCAATACAAGCTAGGTTGAGTGGTCTATGTGATCTGATGCCAATTAATTGAGAGTTATTAGTTGTTATAATTTCACTTACATTAGGGGGTGTGTTTATTGAGTAGTGGAAAGAAATGGGTCCAATTAGGCAGAATGAATAAGGAAATTCCATATATCCAATCCCAACTATGAAGGATTGAGGTGTATTTGATTGCTTGATATGATTTTTGGATAATTTCTGATAGGGGCATGATGAATGGGAAAAACTTATTTCCAGTATGATTTTTTTTTTCTCAATTAAGAATTATTTCCTCTATGCTTTTGGTTCAACAGTAAGGTGGTCCAGCATATGACTTGTGGTATGGGCACATCATGAGTTCACAGCAACGTGGAGAAGAGTAGAGGGGAGATTGCATTATCCATTTAGTTTCAAAACTACAAACAGCAGATTTCTCAATTATTAAAAGAAATAATTTGAATGCTTGATTTATGGGTAGCTATACATGTACTGTAGTTATGGTACTCTTTCATCTAAGATAGAGTTGCATCTTAAAATGTAAGTTGTTGTAGCAAATTATTGTGGTGTAGGGAAGCAGGAAAGCTTAAATGACGAGACATGTTCCGAGGTCATTGTTTTTGTTTGCCCTCTTTGAGTGATCAGTCGCGATATATTTGTTTCTTATATTGTTTTGTTTCATAGGAAAAGGTTGTGAAACTTAAGATTTATTTTCATGGTTTTAGTAATGATAAGGTGGATTTAATTGCAGATAGCAAGTGGTTATGCTGATGGAAGCATTAGAATCTGGGATTTGGAGAAAGGGATATGTGAAACCACACTGAATGGGCATAAAGGGGCTGTCACTGCCCTTCGATTCAATAAGCTTGGATCATTGCTTGCATCAGGAAGCAAAGATAATGACATTATTTTATGGGATGTGGTGGGTGAGTCTGGTCTGTTTCGCCTTCGGGGACATCGCGATCAGGTTCATACTACCTTGGAATTAGCAGTGATGTACTTTTCTTTTCTGACTTCTTCACGTGTCACTTATGAAATTCTAATTTTGTTCCATTGCCATCCGTGTTACAGGTTACTGATCTTGTTTTCTTGGATTCTGGCAAAAAGCTGGTAACAGCTTCTAAGGACAAATTTTTGAGGGTATGGGATCTTGATACTCAACATTGCATGCAGATTATAAGTGGCCATCATACTGAAATTTGGTCCATAGATATTGACCCTGAGGAAAGATATCTTGTCACTGGTTCGGCTGACCTTGAGCTTCGTTTTTACACTATAAAGCATGATTCAGCTGATGGACAATTGATTGCAAACAAAAGTGAAACTGATGTAAATAAGGACTTGCCTACTGAAAACAAATGGGAAGTATTAAAGCCATTCGGTGAAATTCAACGTCAAAGCAAAGATAGAGTTGGAACAGTGAGATTTAATAAGTCCGGAAACCTGCTGGCTTGTCAAGTTGCAGGGAAGACGGTGGAAATATTCCGTGTGCTGGATGAGTCTGAATCTAAACGCAAAGCAAAAAGAAGAATCAGTAGAAAGAAGGAGAAAAAAGCTGCCAAAGAAGGCCTTGAGGCAACGGAAAAAGGAGAGACAGATATTGGAGCTGAAGAAGGCAGCAATCCTGTTGTTACAGTCATGGATATCTTCAAGCTTCTTCAGACTCTACGGGCTGGAAAGAAGATCTCCTCAATTTCTTTCTCCCCAGTCACTTCAAAGAACTCACTGGCTACATTAGCACTGTCTTTGAACAATAATTTGTTGGAATTTCATGCTATAGAAAGCAGTTCAACTACTAAATTGAGTGCTATTGAGCTTCAGGGGCATCGCTCTGATATCAGAAGTGTTACTCTCAGCTCAGATAACACTCTTTTGATGACAACTAGTCACAGTGCAATTAAAATATGGAACCCTACTACTGGTTCTTGCCTCCGCACTATTGATTCAGGATATGGTCTTTGTGGACTGTTTGTTCCAGGTAACAAGTATGTGGTCGTCGGTACAAAAGGTGGTACTCTGGAATTTATTGACGTTAGAAGCGGTACTTGTGTGGATGTAGTGGAAGCCCATGGCGGTTCTGTTCAGTCGATTGCTTTAACTCCAGATGGTACAGGTTTTCTTACTGGCAGTGCCGATCATGACATTAAATTCTGGGAATTCCAAATGGTACAAAAGGCTGGTGAAGTGCGTAATCTAGCTTTCTCCATATTCAAACATATGCCAAATTGCTAAACATGGATGACTCATGCTAAATTACTGTGCATCTCCATCTTTCTTGACAGTGTACTGCTGTTATCTGCACTTTGGTTCTTAATGTTGGGATCTCATGTTGGATGGTTTAGGATCTTAATAGAGATCTCTGGATTCCTATGAAAACAGATTATTTACACTTTACCACATACTAATACAATTGCTCAACAGCTGTAGTGGTGCTCTTATACTTCTTAAAAGAGGGGCTATAATAATGTTTTTGTACAAAAGAAATAGTAGCATAGAATAACTGATTGCTTCTATGGAGGTTCAAACAGCATACTGAGGTTCTCCGCTGAATAGGCATTTATCTAATATACATATGTCAAATCCTAGAATGCAAAATTGGCTTGGGATTCTTACAACCATGGTCTTGTTTCTTAACATTCTAGTTTCTGCTGGATAAAAGAATCTCTGTTCTTGCTGGGGAGTAATCATGTGTTTAATTTATTGACTTACAGGGGTCTAAGCATTTAACCGCATCTGCTACAAGGAGCTTAAAAATGAATGAAGATGTTCTAGTCGTTGCTGTGAGCCCTGATGGTAAATATATTGCTGTTGCCTTGTTGGATAGCACAGTAAAGGTAACGGTCTAACTTATTTGAATGGTCGGTCCACATTATAATTTCTGAAGAACAGCTTTAAAGTAGAAATTCTCATCTCTTGGGACTTGGAAGTATTCTTTATGAAGTGTTTGTGAAATTACCTGATCAAATGTCTCGGTGTAAGTGTAACATTATTTATAAAAAAACAAAAAGGTTTTGCGTAACATTATTAGTTAAGCTCTTCTTAAGTAATTTCTTTGACAGTGATAGGCATATTAGCTACAAAAGTCAACTACATTTTCATTTTCGGTTTCCTTAAGATGGTGGGTAGAAACCTTATTTGGTACATATGCTTCTAGAAACAAATGCTGCTTGTCATATCAGCTTCTTTTTCGTTGCAACTGGCTTTGTTCGCCTATTTATCTTTCTGCTTAATTCAGAGCCTAATTTTGATTACTGGAGAAGCTCAGTGCTTCTGTATGCCATATGTTTATTTTTGCTGCTTTACCAGCTACCTGTAAGCTTATGGCATAGAAGAAAAGCGGTTTTCATCATTACAGAAGGTGATTTTTCCCAATATTTTGGGCTTTCATCTTGATAGCAGATACAATGAATGTTGTATCGCAGAGCTCAATATTGCTGTGAGCCACGTTGGTTGGTCTAGCAGAAAGCAGGAAAACTATTATTCACTGAAGTAGGATCTGGAAGTAACAAAAGATCAGAACTTCTCTTTATCAATAAAACAAAATATTAGAACTTCTCAGGCAAAATCAAACAATGGTTTTCTCTGGTTAAAGTGCCATGCTAATAAGCTGAACAGAGAAACCTGAGGTTTAGCCCTTAAGGTCCTTAGCAAAAGTCAAACTACTTCCCAAAATATCCTGTTTCCTAACTTAGATCCATTTGAACAGCCTGGAAGCGGTTTGAGACTGAGACTAGATTCTTAAGTCAGCTCCCGAAATTCTATCTAGCTTCGTATCCAGGTTGTTTTCATTACACTGTTAAAACTTTTAATTCAGTTTGTTTTTCTGCTTCATCATTGTGTTGCAGTCCACCAAATGCATTTGCGTTTTACTTCATCTCAAGGCTCTTATTTCTTTCCGGTCTTATTTAGACCTAATACTTGTGATGTCATACGTTTTCAGGTCTTCTATATGGATTCACTCAAGTTCTTTCTTTCACTCTACGGTCATAAGCTGCCTGTATTGTGTATGGATATTTCTTCAGATGGGGATCTGCTTGTCAGTGGCTCTGGAGACAAAAATGTGAAGATTTGGGGTCTAGATTTTGGAGATTGCCATAAGTCACTTTTTGCGCATGCTGATAGGTGCTTTGATTAAAGCATTAAGTAATCTAGTATTCCACTAGGTAATGTTTCACAGCTAACCAATGCTGATAATCTGTTTCCATCGCAGCGTTATGGGAGTTAAGTTTGTGCGCAACACCCATTACTTTTTCACTGCGGGGAAAGATCGTCTGGTGAAATACTGGGATGCTGACAAGTTTGAGTTGCTTTTAACCCTCGAAGGTCACCATGCTGAAGTCTGGTGTCTTGCTGTTAGCAACCGTGGTGATTTTATTGTTACAGGATCTCATGATCGGTCCATACGCCGATGGGATCGTACTGAAGAACCATTTTTTCTTGAGGTATTCTGTTTTAATGTCTGAAATACTGCATCGGTTTTAGACAGTTTAAGCAAATAATTATAAGTTGCTACTTGGATTTGCAGGAAGAGAAAGAAAAGAGACTGGAAGAGATGTTTGAATCAGACATTGACAATGCATTTGAGAATAAGTATGGACCAAAGGAAGAACTTCCCGAGGAGGGAGCTGTGGCATTAGCGGGGAAAAAGACTCAAGAGACTCTTACTGCTACAGATTCTATCATTGATGCACTTGACATGGCCGAAGCGGAACTGAAACGAATTGCTGAACATGAGGTTTGCGGCTTACTTGGAGGCATCTTCTTACTGATCTTCCTTTACAGGGAAAAAGGGTTAATAGAATGAAATTAAAGCAGAGTGGTTTTAGAATTTATGTAATCTTTTTGTATAGACTGAAACCTACTTGGTAAAACATTGCTAAAATGATTTTGAATTATCCAGAAGATTTTTGGTGTAACTAATGAACAAGATTTTAATTAAGAAAAAAACTAAACAAAGGTTGTCAAAAGAGGTGGTTATCTGAATGTTTGCGCCTTTTCTTTGCTCTCCTTTTTCTTTGAAACTGGGTGAATGGATGTGGAAGGTAATAAGTGGTTAGTTAATTATTCTTTTTATTAAAAAATGAAACTGTTATCATAACTTTTGAATTTGTAATTTCTTGAATGGCTAATACTATTTTCAATTTAGGAGGACAAATCAAAGGGCAGAGTTTCAGAATTCAGGCCCAATGTTCTCATGCTTGGTCTTTCTCCTTCTGATTATGTTCTTCGTGCATTATCGAGTGTTCATACTAATGATCTGGAGCAAACATTGCTGGTAAGTGATTATTTTGAAGTAAATGTTTCCTTTTAATTAGGAAAATCAGTCTTTTTAATATTTTTTCCTCACCTGAAATGTTATTATATAACTGTTTCAATTCAAATATCATCGCTGTGATTCCATACATTTGAGGCTATAGCTTTGGCCATGCGTAGTTTATTGAGCTTAAGTTTGCAAATTGTTACTTGGAGGCACAGTGCCTAAATGTTGGGCCCTGGGTTACTTTTGGTTTATTTTGATATTGGGAAGTTTGTAGGTCTGTCCCTTTTAACTTCAGATGGGGCGTAATAAGAGATAAAACGTCCTTTTTAGGGCAGTGAATTAATTTGAAACTAGCGGAAATGGAATTCTTAAGTTCAATGGCAAAGGGTTTTATAATTCTTTCATACTTGTGTTTCCAGCATTTTGGAATAATATCTTTTGTTATTTATAATTGGTCTCTGTTTCTTAGAGGAGGGATACACGTGATAGTTGTCACTAGAGGTAAGCAAGTATTATCAAACTGAACTAACTTTTTCCAGCTTTGAGTAAGGACACTAGTAAATGTTTCTGTTTCTGGAGCCTATCTGTGGTCGAAATGGGGTCGATTGGATGCGAAAGGCTGTGTGGCATCTTTGACATAAAACTTAACCGTGACATGGTTGTTTGGTTTACTCAAAAATTATATTGTGCCTTAAATCCATCTGGTTGGAAGGCATCCCAAATTACCGTTGCTTACATCATGTGTTACCCAGAAAAAAGACATTGGGGGTATTGTTGCGCGGTTTACTCAAAATTCATATTATGCCTTAAATCCATCCGGTTGGAAGGCACATCCCAAAATACAGTATGTGACCATTGCTTACATCATGTGTTACCCAGAAAAAAGACTTGGCATACCCAAGTTTTTCCGACATCATATCATCTAATGTATGTTAGAGTGACATCATTGAAAAACCTAGTTTTACTTTATTCTATTCGCTCTAATGGTTGAGATGCGGGTTATATATCTCACTCCAGTAATGTGTTATCCTACTCAATCCCGCTGAATCCATAATTCAGCTTTCCTAACTTTACACATATTAACATTTGGTATCTCTTAGAATTTGCCTGTTCAGACCCATGTATGGGATTTCACTGGGTTTTTTGTTGTTGTTGTTGTAATTGAGTTTAAATTGTTTGTATCCTGTCAATTTCTATTTCGTCTTGTATATAAGATTCTATTTCAAATAATCCTTGCAGGCTTTACCCTTTTCTGATGCTTTGAAGCTCTTGTCGAACCTGAAGGATTGGGCATGTATCCCAGATAAGGTTAATATTTTCTTACAAGAGAAGTAGAATTTTTACATTTATGTAAGCCCAGACTCCACTTGTGGGATTTACCGGGTTGTTGTTGTCGTTGTTGTATGTAAACACAAATATTGTTCTTGAGCTTTTGAAAACAAAATAATTGAATAGAATCTCCTCTCATATTAAGTTTAATCTCCAAAAGAGTGGAGAATGGTAATTTCAGTAGCAATCAACAAGTTCTTTTTTTTTGGTGTGCGTGTATAAAGTACGGTAAGTAGCAATCGACATTTTTTTGCACATCTACATCGACAAGGTAGCTTTTTGTCTTCTTACTTGTAATTGTACAATGTATGCTTTGCTTGAATGAAGTTCCTGTCTTCTGCAGTTTACAGGCCATGTCCAATCTTGAATTTCACAGTCATTATCCTTCTATGGTTCTTGCAGGTGGAACTTGTTTGTAGGATAGCGACAGTGCTATTGCAACTTCATCATCACCAGCTGCTTTCAACTGTCTCTTCCAGACCCCTCTTGACCGTTCTAAAAGAAACTCTTCATGCAAGAGTTAAGGTAAGTTTGAGTACATTTGCTATGACTTTTTGAGCAATTCTTTTTTCTTTTTAATTAAAGAAAAAATTGAAACTGTTCAACCATGTCTGTGACTTTCACTACCTGCACACCTCACCCCATTCTAATATTGTTTTAAAATTAAGCATGTAAATGGAGAACCACTGTATGAGAGGTTTCAACCTTCTATTTTTTAAAATTATCACACCCCATTCTATTTTTGACACGAATTCATGTCTGACTACCACAGGAATGCAAAGATGCCCTCGGTTTCAACCTTGCTGCAATGAATCATCTCAAGGTAAGACACTTGTGATTTTGATTTTGTCAGCCTCTTTTCCAAGTTCATGAGGATGTGAATTGATTATCTCTGTTGTCTCAGCAATTGATGTCTATGAGTTCGGATGCTCTATTTCGTGATGCAAAGGCTAAGTTATTGGAGATACGTGCACGCAACACAAAACGTATTGAAGCAAGGGCAGACACAAAACAAGAAAAGAAGAGAAAGAAGAAACAGAAGAAGTTGGATGGAGGACATGTTTGGTCATGATTTATAACCTCAACCTCACTTGTACCTTATTGTGGGGGTAACAATTTTGGTCAGACAGCTTCAGCAAATAGGGTTTGAGTTTTGATACAAAATTTGTATATAATTTTGTTAGAGTTATAAGAACGTTATAGCCCTAACTAGTTTATTACACCAATCATATTACTTTCTTAAATGACAAGAGCTTTGTCCTGATGCTAGTCCTTGCTGCCTGAAAGTAGAAAATTTAATTAGTCAGGTTTAGAAGAGAAGTTTGGATTCTCATTAGCAGCCTGATTTTTGAAGTTCATTACACGTTCTATCTATTTTTGGCAGGTTAATTGCTGCAACAAATTAAGGTGATTTGATATTTTTATTTCGTTGTTGGATACTATTAGTTAAATTCCTGAAAATCTATGATTTCCATTTTATGCAACTTCTTCGGTTTGTCTTCATTTCTTTTTTCTATTTTCTAGCACGTGTTTTAAACCAAATTTTAGAGTCGTCATTTTGGTCAATATAATACCATTCTTTCAATAGTTATCCCGAAGGGGATAGCCTAGTAGCCAAGAAATAGAAATTTGATAACAATATGAGGGTTCTTTGATTGGGAAACTAAGTTATCTCATAATTAATTATTTTACTCTTTTACAGAAATAAAAAAAATTATAATTTGGGATAACTAATTTCAAATTAATTATACTGCAATTTTATTTAGTATTGAAATTAATTATTCTTTATTCTTCGTACAAAATGAGTCTTAGAGTTTTGCCCACCCGTAAAGTATATACCTAACAGCCTACCATTTAAATTTTGATATCAATTAAACTGTTATCGCAAATGATCTCACCCTAAAAAAAAGGAAAAAAGAAAACATTTGTTCACAAGCATTTCAACGCAATAATTTTTAGCAGTTGACAGCATTTATAACGTCAGCGGACAGTAAAATCAGTTCCAAAAGGGGGCATCTCGAGCTCGACACGCCAACTTTCAACAACGTAATACATTAGTCTTTGACACAACATCTGGCGATTTCCAAAATCTTTGGCACAACCTGCTTGCTTCGTTGTCGTTGTACCTTCTTTATATTCCCTTTTGGGGTCTTTCCTTTTTTCCGTCGTTCTTTTGTCGATCGCCATCCTAAATTATGGCGTCTTCCAGTTCCGGCAACTCCGTTCCTGCCGCTGGTAACCCCTTTTTCCTATATAGCAAATCAAATTTAATTTCCAATTTCATTCTTTTGGCTTTCGATTTATTGTTTTTGTTTAAATTTTAATTGGTGTTTTGTCTATAGAGGCAGTTCAAGTTCTGGTATCTTCATTGGCGGATGATTCACCTATTGTACGTGAAGCATCAATGGCTACTCTCAAGGACATCACTTCCTTGTATGTCTCTTTCCTATATATATATATATATATATATATATATATATATATATGTGTGTGTGTGTGTGTGTGTGTGTGTGTGTGTGTGTGTGTGTGTGTGTGTGTGTAGTTGGAGACAGGATTTCAATGTTATGGGTTCTAAATTTTAGAACGACGACTTAAAATGCTAATAACTGGTTCTAAATTTAATATTTGTTCATATTTAATGAAGTTTTTAACACAAAAACACTGTTGAGCAAAAGCTAACAGGTTAGGCTGAACCTGTATTAGGCCCTGTAGCTCCCCCCTTTGTGTGTATGTGTGTGTGTTTCCCTTGCTTGATTTTTGCCTATGTATATATATTACTACCTCTGTTTCAATTTATGTATCTTAGTTTGATTAGGCAGGAAGTTCAAGAAAATAAGGAAAGCCTTTTGAAATTTGTGCACCTTAAACTAAAGATGTGTATAATGTGCCAAACTCCCCTTCGAGTTGTATGGTCTTAATCATGCAATGCAAGGTTTTAGAGTTGAAAAGTTACTAAATATAGAAAGTCGCAATCTTTTTGAAATAACTAAAAAGAAATGTAAGACACATAAGTTGAAACGGAGGGAGTAATATATCTGTGTGTGCGTGTGTGTATATTTGACTTGCTCGTAAGTTTCAAGAACTTGTTTTTTTAACTGTCTTGGGTTTACTTTTGAGTTTATTATTTTTTGTTCTTTCAGAAACCCACTTTTGGTTCTTGATTGTTGCCTAACAGTATCGAGAGGTGGACGACGGGTACTGTTCTGAAAATATGGTTTTTGTATGTTCATTAATTTGATATTTTATGAACAATTGGGTTTGAGTGTAGTGTTTTAATTGGGATTTTATGGATTTTTTAGAGGTTTGGGAATATAGCTGGTTTATTTCAAGTGATGTCAGTGGCAATTCAGGCTTTGGATAAGGGAGATGTTGATCCTAATTATCTGGCTAAGTTGGCCAAGATTGCCACTTCTGAGGTGATCTCAACCAAGGTAAACGAAACCCCATTATATTACTTCCTCCATAATGATTTATGTGATGGTGTGTGACTGGGCATGAGGTTTAAGACTTTTGAAACTGTGGTGTAAAATAAGCCATTGACATTTTTGTGGCTATAAATCATCTCATTATGGATGAAATGAAAAGTTTCAAATTAAATTGTTTCTAGATATAGAAATGTGTCATTCTTTTTCGAGTCAGGGAGTGTCACATAAATTAGGACACAGGGAGTTCTAAGTTTGTGCTACAATTTGTTATAATAGTTCAGGCAGGAGCTACATCACCATGCTGAACCAAATGCAGATCCTTAATTTTAAACTTTTATGTGACTTGGGTGCAAAATTAGCATATATATGCACTTTCAAAAATATTCCAACTATTTATGTAGAGGAGGAGTAGAAAGTGGTGGACGAACTTGTTGTTGGACCCTTGCATCCACTTGTCTTGCACTGATTTCCTATGAATCAAAATGTAGCAATTTAGAGTTTCGACTAGAGTCTCTGGTGGAGATTGATTAGTTGTATACCCTCAAGTTATGATGTCACAATATGGGAATATCGAATGTGATATTCTGTACAGTGGATTGTTCTCTCTTGTTCGTTGGCTGGGATTGTAATGATCATAAGTACTAGTTTCCTGTTACCTTATTGTGGAGTTATTGGTTTTTTCCACCATGATTCAGATTGGTGTGGAAGCCAGTACATTGACCATGTTGTTTGGTGTGGGAGTCAGCAGGGGCGAAGCCACCATTTTAGATCTATATAACATATATTGAACACCCTTGTCAGAAATTGTTTTTACTCCTTTCAAGTCTGACACCCTTAGGAAATTTTCTGGCTTCGCCACTGGGAGTCAGTACTTTGTTATTTGTATAATGGGTATCAACTTTACTTCCTCCAAGTCCAGTGGAATGCTGGTAGTATTTCATACTACTCTAACAGCATGTTCAATCTCATGATAGGAACTTAATGCTGACTGGCAAAGAGCTGCGGCTGGTGACTTGTATCAATTGGTTCACATATGCCTGATCTGGTGAGTGTGCACTTTTCTTTTCCTTATGAAAATAGATTCTAGAAGAGGGAATGTAATCTGTGCTTTCTAATTTATATCTTCTTTTGTTTGATCAGTTTCTAATTTACATCTTCTTTCAGTTGTTTTTGTGAACGTATTTTTTTATCATTCCTGTTTCTTATTTCTGTGACTGTCAATAGTATCTCTCAAAGTTTTAGAGCCTTGTGGTAGAGTTGATTTTGTCATAGCTTGCAAGCAGTAAGCTGACCAATTTTCAGTCTAACTATTAGAAAGTGCCGTGAAACTCCTCAATTGTTCAATGCTTTTCATATTAGCTCCGTTGAGTTGTGTGCATCAGCTCATTTAAAAGTTTAAAGTCTTAAGAGAGGGGTCACTTTTATTTAATTACTTTAGACCTGCAACTTGGCCTGTCACGTCCCAACCTGATTCCTTTTCTTGAGCTAAACATGTAAACATATTTTCTGATTGGTGGTGGTGAAACTCGAAATTATTACCTCTATGTACTTCAATACCATGGAGAGTTGTAGAACGACTTCATCTGAAAGTTTAAAAAATTAGAGATGGGACACTTCCATTTATTTATTTTAGGTTTGCAACACAATATGGTCTCACATTGGGTATAAAAGGACATAAAGGGGATATAAAAAAACAGTCCTAAGGTTTTGGGTAGAATGCTCAACTTCTTTCACAAGCTTGAGTGACATGACTGGATATAGATATATAATTAACCCCCTATAAAGAAAATGAATCACACTATTATTGTTGGATGGAAATTGGGAGGGGATGAACCATTCTAAATGGAAAAAGAGCGAAGTGCATAATTTGGATAGCGACAGGCTTTCCATGAACCTGAGTCGGTAGCAGTTGGTTTGTGCAGATAAGTAGCTAAAGGCTATTGCTGTAACGACTCCACGTAAGTGGCTTTATTTGATGGTTGAACTAGTTTGCTCTTATAGTGATATTATGGGTTGACTTTGACTAGAGGAAATAAATGGGGAGGCTGTGACCAGACTACAGATATTTTCATTTGCAAAACTCTTTTTCACTCATCTCATAATTGGAGTTTTGCATGTTTGTTCCTTTATAGTAATTAAAATATTGAATTCCTTACAATCAATGAGACCATATGAAGTTCCTTTTTAGCTGGTATAGTACATTAGGCAATCATAAAAAATCCAACTATCATTTGTTGATGCATTACCCTCTGAGTAGACTGCTTACCACAGTTATTTTCTTTAGCTGGGGAGTGTTTTATTCTTCTCATCACTAGATGATTTATACTAGGTTGTACTTTCTGTGGTAATTGAAATTTCAGAGATGAATGCTTCTTTTCCTTGATGGACATTTCTCTTGTCACTGAGAAAAGAACAAAGGATTTGGCTCGTTACCTTTTTTGTATTATGTTTACTTTTGTTGCAGTTGCACAGTTTTCTGACAAATAGCTGTGTGTCCAACACTCTTTCTTTCTTCTTGGTTTTTGATACTCTGAAGTTTCCCTATTCTTAGTTTAATTCTTCAATTGTCCGTGGCAGATGATGGAAGAAATATTCCTCCATCTTTCAGGGTCAAATTCTGCTCTGCCAGCCATGGTTCAAATTCTTGCAGTCTTTGCATCATCTGATGGTTCGTTTTCGATTTGTTTGCAAATACTTTGTGGGCCGCTTTAACATTATTACCCAAATTACTTATCTGATCTATGTCTACAATATTTGAAGCTTTGCAGTTTACTCCTCACCTTAAGGGTGTACTGGCACGAGTGGTGCCCATTCTTGGAAATGTGAGGGACATACACCGGCCTATTTTTGCAAATGGTAATAGACCTCAGAACTTTTTATGATCTAACATAATAAGAAGTGCTTTCTCTTGCTCATTATTAGCAAAATAATCCTTCTAAAAACATTAGCAAAATATGTCACTCCTAACAGAAGAAATAGGAGAATTTACTATGGGGATG